TCACTGAGTGGCATTCATAAACCCGTAGACGAGGCAGGAGCACAGGCGGATGGGTGCATTTGCTTACGTTCTTTTCCAGTCTGCGCTTTAAGATCGGGTAAACAGTCCAGTTGAACGGGGTCACCAAACTTCTCACCCCTCCTCAGGCGGCACTGGCGAGTTGCGAAAGCCTCTAAGGCTCCTTCTCTCTGGACTTTATCCCACAGTTCTAACCTGTCCAGTTCGTCGGTTTCCTGTCCATCCGTTTCTCCACTTTGCCGCTGCTGCTGCGAATGCAGATCTGCAAGCTCCAGCAGCACCCACTCCTCAGGTCTTAATCCCTCAGTCGGAAACGGCAGCAAGCGCGAGGGAGGCAGCGTCACAGCCACGTTATCTCTCACGCGCAGGCGGGCGCCGACGCCCATTGGCCGGGAAACATCCGCGTAGAGCTCCACATCCACCTGCACGGACCAGGGTCCCGGCAGGAACTCTGGAAGCACAAGCGCAAGAGCAACGAGCAAAACCTATGCGCAGACCAAAACGCACCAACACTTTACACTTGTAACTGTCGCCCTCACTAGCCACGAATGCATCTGAAAAACCAANCCAAAACGCACCAACACTTTACACTTGTAACTGTCGCCCTCACTAGCCACGAATGCATCTGAAAAACCAAATCGGCGACAGTTTTCCAGACTGCGCACTACCTTGGCGCACACCTAAAAAAACTAACCCCCCGAACAAGTCGCAAGCAGCAGTGCCGGCAAACAAGAGAACATGGGTAGTACCAATCTGTGAATGAATGCATTTCAAACTGCAGCCACTCGTGGAACAAACTGCTGCAAAACATCCGAGCTCCTTTGTTTACTGTCACGGAGTGCAGTGGGCATGCATTCCGGCCTGAACTGCCGCGAGAGCTTGCGCGAACGAACAGTAAACAATGGTGGCAAAAGTAGGAAGAAAGCAGCGTTGCACTCACCCAAATAAGCCGTGTCGTTCTCCACCTGACTCGAAAACAGCAACGGCTTGCCCACTTCAAGGCAGAGGACTGTGGCCTTGTCGCCTGGCCTTGGGGGCCCAACACTGTCGTCAACAGAAGGCGTCATAATCTGGGAGGGGGCCAGAGGAATCTTTGAGGGCATTTTGGAGGGGAAGGCTGCAGGCAGCGGAGGGTTGTACTTCACGTGCAAAAGAAGATGGCCCGGGCCCAATTCACCGGTTTCATCGGCATCCTCCACTTTGACGACCTCAACTTCTGCGAACCACGGCGCTTCCGTG